ACATACACACACATACACACACACATACACACACATACACACACATACACACACACACACACATACACACACACACACACACACACATGAAACTTGACACATAATTAATCGCAAGCAAATAACTGTTCTCACGTTTGTAGGCCCCACATCTAAAACATCATGTCTAGAAAAACGTGGATACGAACCCCTTCTCTTGCAGCTCACGTTTCAGTGCAGCTAGATCTCCAAGCAAGTGATTACAGTCCTCCAGAACTTGTAGTTCAGCCGAAGGAAACTGCACAGCTCGCCGCCCTAGCTTCACCGTCCTGCCAGTGTCATCAGCCGCCATTTTATCTCCTTGTAAGTTTCAATTTCAGTCTATGTGTGTAGCACCCATAGATTAGCAATGATATCCTAGACTGCGCACTTTTATGTACAATGTACTTCCGGCTCATAATGGAGCTCGACTTTTGATTTGCTTCGGAGCCAATTGAACGGGGAAAAAGGAGGAGCGGGATGCTGTATGCACTCAACTATAGCGAGAGTGCTGCTTTGCCCATGGTGTGCACTAGTGCAGTAAAGCTTTTATATGCAGCTGAGAGCGACGGCCATGATAGTATGCAATTTAGGGTTAATATAAACTTCAGGTCTATAGTATTACATCAGCGCTCGTTAAAACCACTTGCATAGGTCTTGTGATTTTGTTTTGATTGTCTTTTCTTTGGCTATTTATTGCACTGTAGCATTTTCTATAATCTTGTTGTTCCTTTAATAAAAAGGGCATTTAGATCTACGTGGTTTGATCTGAAAAGAGCATAAATGAGGTTTTCTAAAACTCGTGATAGGAAAACTGAACTGTGCAAGTTCACAGTTGCCGATAAGGTGGGTGTCAGAACGTCTTAACTTATAGCTGGGCACGGAGCGAAGCTATCGTCTCCAGAAATAGGTCAGGGATATCGAGAGGTATGTTGACACTCCGCCTCCAGGGTTTTTCCCCATTTGCCTAATCGCAGCAACCATTCAAATACGATTTCCCAGAGTTGATTCTCAGCGAAATTCGCTCTTTTCAATGTCAACTACGTTTGATTTCATAGAAGCAATCAAACCCGAGTCAGAGAGTACGAGAGAGAGAGAGAGAGA